TCGAAAAATTAATTTCCACCCAAATAATTCACCACCTTGATAAGTACAGTCTCTTGAGCGAGTTTCAATCTGGTTTTCGATCCAACCACAGTTGTTCTACTGCCTTGTTAAAAGTTATGGAAGACATTCGTCCTGCTTTTGATAATAAGTTACTTACTATTTTAGTGCTCTTAGATTTTTCTAAAGCTTTTGATATGGTAAGACATGACATTCTTCTGTTAAAGCTGCAACATTATTTTGGTTTTAATTCAACGTCACCAAATTAATGAGCAACTATCTCTCAAACAGGTACCAACAAGTCCAATGCGGAGACATATTTTCTTGTCGCAAAAAAATAACTTCTGGAGTACCTCAAGGCTCGATTCTAGGTCCCATTCTTTTTAGTGTTTTCATAAACGATATTGTTTTCTGTTGCCAAAACTCATGTATTCGTTTATATGCTGATGACACACAGATTTATTTCTCGCGTCCCATCGGTCTAGGTGAAGATTTAGTTTTTAGGTTAAATGATGATCTTGGTAGAATAGTAAAGTGGGCCAAAACGAACGGTCTCAGTTTAAACGCTGCCAAAACGCAGGTACTGCCTATATCGTTTGATCCTCTTGATTTAAGAAGTTTGCCGTCATTAATGCTGGGCAATACGGAGTTGAATTTCCAATCCGTTGTAACGAATCTTGGTTTTAAAATGAATACACATTTAACTTGCACAGATCACATTAGCCATTGTATATCCAAGATATATTTGATTCTAAGGAATTTATGGCAAACGTGTAACTGCCTACCAACTAACATAAAACTTAAATTGGTACGGTCTCTTATTGTCCCCAACATTTCGTATTTCGAAATGGTTTATTGTAATCTGGACAGTGAATCCAAGAACAAATTAAATATGGCCTTAAATAATACAGCCAGATTTATTTACGGTAAAAGAAAGTATGACCACATTTCAGAGTTCACAAAAAGCATCTTAGGCTCGAACTTGGAGAGCTATCTGAAGATTCGTAACATCTTATTTTTGTATAAGTTAACTAGATACCGCCAACCATGCTATCTTTACCGAAAACTGAACCTGGTTCAATCGTCTCGCACCCATAATATTATTGTACCTAGGTATAAAACTTTAACAGCGTCTAGATTGATTTTTGTTAGTGTTGTCAGAATCTGGAACTCCTTACCAACCTCAATTAAGTCTTACTAGTCTTTTTAAGTAAAATCCGTCTACCTTCCCTAAAACTCCTCTCCTAAAATATTATCTTTATCTATTATATATACGGTGACCATCCGTCCTGTATTATACGGGACAGTCCTCTGTTTTGACCCATTGTCCTGGTAATTTATTTATTTTATACGGGACGCCAAATGTTCTGTATTTCTTTTAATGTCCTGTATTTGTCCCGTATGCGATGTTTCGACGCTATTTTTCCTTAGTTCATTTAATGTTTATTATTTTATTATTTTATGAAAGTAAAGCTCTTTTCCTAACAAAAACCATATAATACCAATTTTACAACTTTGTGCAAAATCTACAAAAATTAATTATGCAATGTTTCGCCGAAATTTCAAACTTTTTAAATAGAATATTTAGGAAAAAAATTGGTTTGCAGTTCTGTAAATCATTAAAATTGAGTATAATAAAGTGCGAGTGGAAAGTGCTGCTCATTTTCTTCTCTTTCAAAAAAAAAAAAGGTCGAACATACTTACTTTATAGGAAAAAAATGCGTAACACCGTCAACAAAAAAAAAATGCGAAAAATTAGTGGTAAGCCTTACCGACTTAAAGTCGCACTTTATTATACTAAAATTTAACGAATTTTATAACAAATTTTATGGGGTAAAAATCTCGACAAAACTATTTTACAAATTTGTGATGTTACTATAAGGATACTGTTTCAGGGAAAACAGTGTGCAAAAAATTTCTAAAATTATTGTTTGTCCCGTATTCGGTTCTCATAAATATGGTCACCGTAATTATGTATATATATATGCTTTTTTTTTTTGCACAACTATTACTTATAATTAAATATTGTTGTTACCATCACAATATTTTTCTGTACTTTATCTAATTAGATTTTAGTTGAAGTTAATTTTGTAATTTTTTTTTTGATTATTTGTACACAGAAAGGACCTCGCGTTTTACTTTACTCAAGAAGTTAATAAATTGAATGGAATTGAATTGAATAATCCTTGTTTAATTCTCTATAAAAAACGTGTTCCACAAAACTGGGAGTTTTTCAAGAACTATTTTTAAAATATTTTTTTTTATGACGAGGTGGTTTATTTTGTGAGAGTCAACAATGAAGTCTCTACGAAGAACAGAACCCGAGATATAACAATTTGAACAAGGGCATGATTATTTAGTCAGAATCACGAAAAAATCCAAAAAATTACAGATCATATATCCGAAGAAAAAGGGAAAAATTAAAGTCAATCGAAATTCTGACACTAAATTTGGTGTCCGATATGTATATTATAACATAGAATAATAGTAGTGTTAGAATTGTAATATATTATTTGATTATTTGTAGGGTTGCATTTTATAACTCTTTTATGCCATTACAGTGTCTGAATTTCGTTTTATTTTAATTTGGTAGGAAACTAAATTATATCCCGGGATACCGAGAGCTTGATCCCGGGATTTCGGAACTCCAAAAAGTGCTCGGTACTCCCGTGCGTAAAGTAATCTTCTTTCCAGGGTCTGACCTTACATATTTATTGCTATTCCGAACGCTACAATAATTTTGAATTGGGGACGTTTAAATACATAGGGAAGTGTTGATTCGCTGGGCTGTAAATTTATATGGTATACTAAAATTCATTTCCCTTGTGAATCACATTTTTAAAGTCCGTTAAGTAACCTTTTATATGTACATTAGAGTGTTAAAAAAAACAAGTAAGAAAGTCTAAGTTCGGGCGGAGCCGAACATTAAATACCCGGCGCAAGTATTAAATATATGTTTTCCACCTTTCCGAAAGCTACCGCTACATGATAAGCCGGGGTGTATAAATTTTAAGTAAACTTGCGTCCTTAAATTTCGAAATTTTGAAATTTCAAGCAATTCTGAAATTTACCGTTATATGAAAAGCGGCCTCAATTTTAGTCCGATTTCAACAATTTTCAACGGTTTTCTTTTATGTGGCGAGCACAATAACCATACCGAGTTTGGTACAAATTGCTAGAACGGTTAGCGAGATACATATATATGATCATAAGTGGGCGGTGCCACGCCCATTTTCCAAAATTTTATCATAAGCGAATTTCCTGGTAAAGAATTGTTGCAACCATCAAATTTTTAATAAATTAGAATTCTTAATAAAGATAATTATCTTTAATATTTACTGATTTATCGAGGATTTCGTATTTATCGAAATTACCTTTATATGGGATGTGGGCGTGGTTACTGTCCGATGTTAAAAATTTTCGGCCATTTGGTATGCTGTAACAGGGCCAAAAACTGTGCCAAGTTTGGAAGAAATTTGTGCAGCGGTTACCAAGATATACACTTATAACCATAAGTGGGCGTGGCTACGCCCATTTTCCAAAAAATTTCAATATTCTTATTTATCGTCTAAAATTTATTGTAAATGTCAATTTTGAGTGAATTATATTCAGTAGTTACTAAAATATCGCAGTTTTTGTATTTCTGAAAATTACCGTTATATGGGAGGTAGGCGTGGTTGTTGTCCGATTTTGCCCATTTTCAATACACGAATGAAGTACACGTACCATGTTTCGATAAGATATCTTAATTTTTACTCGAGTTATCGTGTGCACAGACGGGCGGACAGACGGACGGACAGACAGTCACCGCTTAATCGATTTCTCTTTTCATTCTGATCATTTATGTATACATTTGTCTATATCTATCTCGATTCGTTTTGCCTGTTACAAACAACCGTTATGTGAACAAAGTTATAATACCCTTGTGCACAAGTGCGCTCGGGTATAAAAATTTCCAAGATACGGTTTGGGGCACCTTCCAAAATGTTTCCTTTTGCCGAAATATGTGCTGGTACCAAACCTTACGTTTCTAAGTATACATATATTTAGAGGATGCTCATGATGCTCATATTTTACTCTAGAAGTATTGTGTACATATACATATTAATCAAACAATTGGTTAAGTAGCCTAACCCTCTAACCGGTAAGAGTGCCTTAAGGCAACCCAGCAACAAACACGATTACCACAGAAACGAAAGTGGAAACGAGCTAGGCGATGGGAATCTCTTACGCTTTCGCTTCAAGAAGGCATTATTTTAACATGGGCATGTCATTGGCGGTAAGTCCTTACCCGCAGCATTACCTTCGAACGAAGGGAGAAGACATGGATAAACAGAATCCAGAGAAGCGAACAAAGAATGCATTACAGAGAAACTAATGTAGAATGCCTAGATAAGTACATACTTATTTATATGAATTTGAAAACAGAAAATACAGATTGTCTTAAAAGATTAAAATTATTCAAAATTTTTATGAATCAGTTTTTATACATACATATGTATGTATTTAGGTATTTAGAATTTACTTAAAAATCGGTATGTACATACATGCATATTTAATTAAGCTTAAAATTGTACTTCCCAGGGATGGAAACGTCGACTCTGACTTTAGTCGAAAGTCGACTTTTTGCTAAAAAAAGTCGACTTTTTGGAATCGACTTCAGTTACCTCAAGTCAAACAAGAATCGACTTTCACTCGATGACTTATCGACTTTTGTCTTCTCTCTGTCTCTTTGTATTTGATGGTAACATTATTACCCAATTTGTAAGTTTAACATCCTATTGCGATAGTGTAAACCCAATGTTATTATTTTATTTATTAGTATTATAGATTATTATGACAATACTGTCACTTTAATTATGTAATAATCAAATATGGCAATACAATATTTAAATAAGCGGTCTTCAGGAACGAGCGTCCATTACTACACACAATTTTATAATGGCTCCCAGTTTTATATGGTTTCACTGCTCAAAAATTGATAATGGCAAAAAAGTAAAGTGCAATCTTTGTGGAAAAGAGTTTCTATTTAATAAAAGCACATCAAATATGCTGAAGCATTTGCAACGTATTCATAAAATTGATCCTTCTCTTAATAAAGAAAAACAACCACACAAAAGAGGAAGCGACACTAATAATAACTCAGACATTCAATCTAAAAAGGTAAATTTAAAAATTTACTAAACTTTTTTAATAGTTAACCAGGGTTCGTATTTGCACACACATGCTCTGCTCACACACACGCCAGAAACACATTCAACTTGCACTCACTGCTCATACACATGTGTGTGCATAAGTGGAAAACAAACTCTGCTCACAGAAAAGTGTGTGCTGTTTGTTATTAAGCACATGCACATGTGTGTGAGCCGATTTTTGTACAAATTTCAGCCCATGCACATGCACATAATATATTTTTAAAAGAGTTTGTTTATTAAACGTTATTTTTTGAAAGACAATTCGATAAAAAGTGAGATGTTGTTTGTTTTTTATATTACAGAAAACATATTAAAAAATTATTTTAAGATTTGAGTTAGAAATCGAAGTGTATAAGTTTCTCTACGCAAAGCACGCACATGTGCGTGTGCCTTATATTAATAAAAATAAAGGACACACATGTGCCCGTGCTTTTTACCAAACGGCACACACATGTGATGTGAGCAAGTTTTTAATTTTTTATATGCACAGCACACGTGTGTGAGCGTAAAATGTTAGGATGTGCTGCGCATGTGTGTGCAAATACGAACCCTGTAGTTAACTTTTCTCTTATATAACCTTAATCTAATTTATTTTTAGGCTTTAACGACCTGTTTCTCCAGTTTCTTTAGAAACTACAAGCACTTCATGTCGTCAGTCACCTATAACATTTAAATCCAATTTCCAGGGACCTACGGATCGGTGTATAAATAACGCCAGTTCTTTCTCAGGTAAAAATTATAACTTTTATACAATATTCTTATTTATACTATATTTTAGGTGGCGGGTATCGTCATGAACAGATAACTACGGCTCTCCTTAGGATGATTGCGGTAGATAACATGCCTCTCTGTACTCCGGAAAGGCCAGGATTTAAAATGTTTGTAAACAAGTTACAACCTTTATTTATATCACATACCGTGTGAGCCGACGTTAAGTGCAGCTATGAGTCGTAAATATCAAGACTTATCAACCAAAAAAGTTGAACTTCAACAGACTAAATCAGTTTGTCTTACGACCGACATTTGGACCCACCAGCATACCATGAAAAGTTATCTTGGTTTGACAGTACATTACGTAAAAGGTTAGTTATTAATTATGTAGTAAAATCTATTGCACTTAGTTATAATTCAAACATTTAATATTCACTGAAACATATATCGGTTATATCTACTTATTAGAAAATGAGATGAAAACGGTTGAGTTGAAAATTTGAGTACAAAATTGAGAAAAATATGCAATGACTGGGGTCTGGATGATAATAAAATTGCAGCTGTCGTGTCAGACGGGGGCTCTAATTTAAAGGGATCATAAAATGGGAATTTGTTAGAAATAACATTGGCCAGCGACTTGTCGAAATAAATATTACCCACCCGTATCTGAATCTGAAAATAAAATAATTGAAATACCTATTGATGAAGATGATGGTATTGAAAGCTTTGATGACTTAAACGTAGATAACACTAATGAGCAATCAACTTTGCGTGGACTGTTGGCAAAAGTCAAGAAAATTGTAGAATTTTTTCGCCATAGCGAAAGACCTACTACCGAATTAATATCTTTGCAAAAGGATTTGCCTGCAAATTCTCGTCTGAAATTGATTCAAGAAGTAAAAATTAGATGGAATTCATGCTACGAGATGATTGACCGTTTCATCGTGCTTGCGGATAATGTCAGTAAAGTACTTTTGTAAGTGAAGATAGATAAAACTTCTAGAACTAAACCACCTAACATGATTACTGGCGAAGAAGTTGATGCGTTGATTGATGTACGAGACGTTTTGAAACCTCTTGTACGACTTACCCGAGAAGTTTGTTCTGAAAAGAATTTTACATTAAGTAAATGTATCCCTTGAATTTGCGGGCTTAAAATGGTAAATTACAATTAAACTTTAAAATTTTTTTATTGCCTTATAATTTAATCTGCATTTTACAGAAAATTCAAGGTTTGGCTCCAGATACTTCAATTGGACGACAACTGAAAAAAAACTATCTCAAGAAATCGAATTTAAATAACATTGAATCTGTAAAGTTATATACTTGCGCGACACTTCTTGATCCTCGGTACAAAAAGTTTGGATTTCAAAGTATTCGAGAATCTGCTCGGGCGATAACTATTGTTGGTAACTTAACTCATTAACAACACATCGATTCTGATGTTACAGATATGCATTTAAAGCATCCATATGGGCTCAATTATTTTTTGTCTTTAAATACTAACAAGGGCATGAATCTCGTATGACGATGATCGTCTGACGATATTGTCTTGCTTCATGAAAACCAAAAATGTTTTATCATTTGTGCCTCCACATCAGCGTTGCCAGGTTGACGTTTTTAACGTCATTTGGACGTTTTTTGTATCCTGTTGACATTTGGACGTTTTTTGTGTAAAAAAAGACGTTTTTTAACTTTCCAGTAATTTTTCTCTGTTACTAAATGTTATAAGTAGAACTGGTTTTGAATTATTTTCTTAATAACTCTTTACAAGCTTTGAGTTTTGCAGCAGCTGCTTCAAAAAATATTTATTCCTTGGACACAGATGACTTAAATATGATGCAAACCAAGTGTACGCGCATTTTTTTGGATTCTTGGACAAAGGCTGGTTGTGTAATCACTTGAGTTTACGAGACTAATTGTAATGTTTGCAATTGCACATTAAAAGCCAAATCAGGAAGAGCTGATCTATTGCAACACGTACGCTCGCAAAAGCATCAAAAAAGCTGTACCAGCATAAAAAGTCAGAAAAAAGTAGGCGACTTTTTTAAGACTTCATTGAAAGTGTAATGAACGCAAAAAAGGCTGAAATATTGCTATGCTTGAGGTGACCACCTTTCCTTTTGAAAAATCCGGTACAGTAAAATTAATTTCGTTTATTCTGAGTTCTATTTTATTTATTACGTAAATGTTATAAAATCCATTACAAATTTAATTTGAAGCAAATTATACAGTATTGGCCAAATCTATAGCCCCCCATTTAGAAGTGATATTGTTTGACACTTATGTTTAATCACAAGGTGTTACAGTGATCGTGCACTTTTTAAGTGACCTAGTACACGTCGTAGGGCTGATCAAGTAATTCACGAAACTGCATTTAAAATTTTTGTAACACCCTCAAATTCGAGACTTATTCTTAAAAAACCATTTTTACATGACTTTCCGCACTAAAAAAGGTTCAGCTGTTAATTTTTACCCCATTTTAAGTTTTATAGTCTTTGGAAGGAAGAATGTTTGTACTATTTAAAGAATAAATAAGTTTTGTGAGCACATTGTAAATGTGTTGAAAGTTGTTGGAATAAGTCTGAAGTTAACACAAATTTTTATTATTTTATTTATTATTACATTACAAAACAAAATAGTCTCTTTCAGTCATTGCTTCGAAAAGAATGTGCAATTCAGAGTAAAGTTATGTATTTTCTTAAGATTTATTCAAAATCACTTCGATGTATTTTCACAGAAAAATTGTATCAGTTAAATTAGATTCATTTTGAGGTTTGAATAGTTCGTATAGAAATATTTGAATTTGTCTCTTAAAAAACTTTCATAATTTCGTAATATTTTTATTGATTTTAATGAATGGTACCTAGTTTTACTCGGAATCAAACATTCTTTTAGAATTAATGACTAAAAGATACTATTTTCTTTTGAAATTTTGGCAAACATATTAAGTGGGAAAAATAATAAAAATTGGTTTAAGTAAATTTCAGATTTATTCCACAAATTTTCCACATATTTACAATGCGCTCGCAAAACTTATTATTTCTTTAAAAAGGACAAATATTCCTGTTATTTAAAGCCAGATAAATACTTAACATTGGTTAAAAATTAATTAATAATTATTTGAGCTAGTGGTGGTTAAAATATTGATATTGTCGATAAAATAAAGAAATAACTTGGACGTTACACGATCAAGATCTTGGTTTCAAGTTGCAATCCACTCACACCTTTTTACTAACACACACGCACGTTTACAACTTGAACGTCGACATGATATCAATTTTTACTTTCAAGTCGTGTAGCAACTTGAAAGTCAAGTCAAACAGCTGAAATCTGAATAAAAAGTTGTAAATATAGCTGAAACTTTGCAGATTTATTATAATTTTTTCACAAAGTTTCAAATATGGATTTATATTTTGTTTGTTATATAATGAGTTCCCATCGCCTGACTATGACGAGGTACGAATAGCGATTACGCGGCTGAAAAACAACAAAGCTGCTGGAGCTGACGGCCTGCCAGCTGAGCTATTCAAGTACGGCGGCGAGGAGCTGATGAGGTGCATGTAGCCCGTCTGTTCTGCCTTCTCGGGATTTGATAGAGAAGCAAAGCGAATGGGTCTGGTGGTGAACGAGGACAAAACGAAGTATCTCCTGTCATCACACAAACAGTCAGAGCATACGCGTCTTGGCACCCACGTCACTGTTGACAGTTACAAGTTTGAAAAAGTAGACGACTTCGTTTATTTGGGAACCAGCATTAACACCAATAA